GGGAAAAGCACTAGGCCACTCAGGTATGAACTAAATCATATTCCTGATTAATATACAGTAGAGGTGACAAATAGATTTAAGGAACTGGATCTGATAGACAGAGTGCCTGAAGAACTATGGATGGAAGTTCGCAACATTGTACAAGAGGTAGCAACTAAAACCATCCCAAAGAAAAAGAAATTCAAGAAAGCAAAATGGCTGTCTGAGGAAGCTTTGCAAATAGCTGAGGACAGAAGGGAAGTAAAAGGCAAGGGAGAAAGAGAAAGATACACCCAATTGAATGCAGAATTCCAGAGAGTAGCTAGAAGAGATAAGAATGCCTTCTTAAATGAACAGTGCAAAGAAATAGAAGAAAACAACAGAATAGGGAGGAACAGAGATCTCTTCAAGAAAATTGGAGATATGAAGGGAACGTTTCATGCAAAGATGGGCATGATAAAGGACCAAAATGGCAGAGACCTAACAGAGGCAGAAGAGATTAAGAAGAGATGGCAAAACTACACAGAAAAACTATACAAGAATGAGCTTAACATCCCAGATAACCACAATGAGATGGTCATTGACCTTGAACCAGACATCCTAGAATGTGAAGTGAAATGGGCCTTAGAAAATCTGAGCAACAACAAAGCTAGTGGAGGTGACAGTATTCCAGCTGACCTATTCAAAATCTTAAAAGACGATGCAGTAAAAGTGCTACATTCAATTTGCCAGCAAATTTGGAAAACTCAACAGTGGCCACAGGATTGGAAAAGGTCAGTTTACATTCCAATTCAAAGAAAGGCAATGCCAAAGAATGTTCAAACTATCGCACCATGGCACTCATTTCACATGCTAGTAATGCTTAAAATCCTACAAGCTAGACTCCAGCAGTATGTGGATCGAGAACTACCAGAAGTACAGGCAGGATTTCGAAGAGGCAGAGGAACTAGAGATCAAATTGCCAACACACGCTGGATCATGGAGAAAGCTAGGGAGTTCCAGAAAAACATCTACTTCTGCTTCATTGACTATGCAAAAGCCTTTGATTGTGTGGATCACAACAAATTGTGGCAAGTTCTTAAAGAGATGGGAATACCAGACCATCTTATTTGTCTCTTGAGAAACTTATATGCAGGTCAAGAAGCAACAGTGAGAACCAGACACGGAACCACTGATTAGTTCAAAATTGGAAAAGGAGTCCAGCAAGGCTGTATACTGTCGCCCTGCCTATTTCACTTATATGCAGAGCACATCATGAGAAAGGCAGGGCTAGATGAAACAAAAGTTGGAATTAAGATTGCCGGGAGAAATATCAACAACCTAAGATATGCAGATGATACCACTCTAATGGCAGAAAGTGAAGAGGAGCTAAAGAGCCTCTTGATGTGAGTGAAGAAGGAGAGTGGAAAGGAGCTGATGCCATGCCTCAGAGTGCAGAAACAGGGAGCTGTGCACAAGAATGGGACAGGGCTAGCTAGTATCATGCAAGCGCTAGCCCCACCCCATTTGCGTCACATGCATGCTTGTGGTCCTGTGCGTGCGCATGTGTAAAATGTTTCCTCTTCCCTTTTCTTCCAGTCTGCCAACCAAGAAAGGTTGGTGACCTCTGCCCTAGAGTAACATATGAAGCAGGCCATTGTTTTTTTTTTAAACCATGTTTTAAGACTTAATGAAAATTAACTTAGCCAACTCTCTTTAACTGACAAACTGAATGAAACCATGGCTAAATACCATCTGTGAATATTCCCAGTGCTGGTCCAAAGTGAGCTTTGTGTGTAATAGACTGTAGATCCTCCCTTTAACATTCTCTAATGAAAGTCGTATTAAATCCCTTCTTACAGATGTTTTCAGATTATTTTCCTGCTATGGCTATAAACTTATGTTAGACAGAGACTACAGCACCATGAGAATTGTCCCATGGGAAAACATTTTTTATTTTTTATTTATTAATATATAAAATTTAAAGAAAAATAGAAATAAGAAATTAGGGGAAAGAAAAAAGGGGGAAATGTGAGATACAAGGGAAAAAAGAAAGAAAAGGCATTGAGTTCAGACTCTTTTTAGCACAGTACAAGATAAAAACATCCGAGCCTCAACTTTTTGTTTTTACACATTAGTATATAACTAGCCATTTCTATAACAACAAATCTATCTGATCAACAAAACCAAGGTCAAAATGTCATTTTTTTCATCACAAGCTCAAAATCCAGAAGTGATATCCAATTAGCAAGAGTACTTAAATATATTCTCCTCTTTGAATAAAATGATCAATTTAACCATTCCTGCTTTATCTTTCTTTCTATAGAAATAGTGTGTATTTTCAACCCTTTCACTTGTCTACTTAAAAGGATCCTTTGAAGTTATAAACTTCCAAACACCTATTTGTACCAAAGAAAACATATGTTTCCTCCAAGATGACCTCCGAGTAAACATATGGTGTCCTCTAGCAAAATGGGACAGGTTACGTGGAGAGAGGTTTTTCCATGGACCGGAGGGGGCCTGGTTTTGTGTGCTGCCTGCATCCTGTGAATGGCGCTTTCCTTGTTTGTGTGGACTGGTTGCTGGCATGCTGTGGCCCGGTACTGGTCCATGGACAGGGAATTGGGGATCCCTGGTCTAGACAGCTGCTTCCTGAATCTGGCAAATAGGTTAAAGTTCAGGTGGATTGGTATTTTCGTTCAAGATATTAAAACCAATCATTAAACCCAAAGATTTCCCCCCATAAACCTAATTGGGCCATTGATTCCAATGGAAAAATACAAGAGAGAAAACATTTTGATTGGTTTAGAAAATGACCAGAAATACTATATATTTATGTATGTGGAATGTCAAATGAACATTTTGAAGATTTTTAAAGAGACCCCGTCTAGCCCAACCTCTTATATCTCATTAATGTTATTTTTTCTCTTAACTGAAACATCCCCTTAATTCCAGTTTCCCTTATATATGTTTATGTTGTTGTTGTTGTTAATTGCGAAGTCATGTCCGACCCATCGCGACCCCATGAACAACGTTCCTCCAGGTCTTCTTGTCCTCTACCATCTTCTGGAGTCCATTTAAGTTCACACCTACTGCTTCAGTGACTCCATCCAGCCATCTCATTCTCTGTCGTCCCCTTCTTCTATTGCTCTCAATCTTTCCCAGCATTAGGCCCTTCTCCAGTGAGTCCTTCCTTCTCATTAGGTGGCCAAAGTATTTGAGTTTCAACTTCAGGATCTGGCCTTCTAAAGAGCAGTTGGGGTTTCAAAAAAAAACTTTTTTATTGTAAAGTACTCATGGATAAGATGTTATGTCTCAAATAATGATAGACAACAGGAGGCATCACATTTTGGTTTCATCATAGGAAATGCTCTTCTCAGGTTCCATCAAGTAATGGGAAATTGATAACTGTAGTAAAAACTTTATTGTCTACCCACCAGTTAAGTTACTGGTCTTCCTGAGAAAGATGGGGATAATGATGACATCTTGATTGCAATTTGCTGCACAAATGACTTGACAATAAGAACAGATTTTGCCACTGGGATCAATGGTCCTAAAAATGGGGTATCAGATGAATATGAAATACTAAAATATTCCAGTTGTATATTTTTTTATTATTCACTGCCCAGGGTTACTGTGCAATCATAAAATAAGATTAAAATTAATACTAAATTCCATCCAACTTACCAAATATCTATTCTGATTTAACAGAACCTTTAAATCCATTGAATTCAAGCCAATGCTGTGCCATCAATATCCAAGGAAGTAGAAAATGTGGTATATATAAGTAATGTTCTAACAGGCATGAATATTATATTGTCATTTTTCAAGTTTTTAGCATTTATTAAATAGTATAAGGTGCAAGGATTCTTCTAGAATCATTATCTTAAAATATATTATAAACTGTATCTTTCAAAATTTCAGGACATTTCTTTTTTAGTGGTTTCCTCTATTTGATCTTCTCATCTTCCACAGAAAGCCATCAGAATTGGAGGTGTCTTATATTATGGAAGAATATAAAATAAGTCTATTAAAATTTGTGGAATTCAGTTTCAAACTACTTTGCTAACAACTCATCATCTTTATTTTTTTCCATATATTTTATTCATGTTTTTAAACATAAATAATAATAGTTGGTAAACAGTATGTTTGCTGGGTTTACATTTGTAAAAAAAAACATTAATAATTGGTTTCTATAATCCATAATACACATAGTACATTTAGTTGATTTCCCCTTTTCCCCAAAATGTCTTCTTTGCGAACCTTGAAGTAATACAGTTCTTATTATTTTGATAAATAACAGTTACATATATGATTTTTCCCCAATATTCCTAGAAATAATGATCACATCAATATAATATTTCTTTTCTATCTAATCATTCTGGTTGCTTCATCTTATATCCTGTTACAGTCCTTATTTAGACTTGTTTCTCCCATAAAGTTCAAAGTATTCTTGCTGGTTAAGAATTTCTCAACAGATAATTACATTTAAAGATTTAAATCCATTTTTCCCATATAAACCATCTCAACACTTTTACATTTCTTAAAGAATAGGTAAAAACAGTAAAGAAAAGGAAAAAAGAGCAAGAGTAAAGAAACATAAAAAGTAAAATATTACTTAAAATATATATTCGTCCTAAGCTAATATATATTCATTTCCAAAATTTCTTATTCTTTTTAACCATGATTAAAAATATATTTAATCTTTAAATATTCCATCTAATGCAGCGTTTCTCAATGTTTGTGTGACGGCGACCCCTGTCACACGAACGTGCCGCGTATGCGCGGCGGTGTCCCCATGCGTGGCGGCGACCCCATGCGCAGCACGCATGCGCGGCGGCGCCCCCTGAGGGGGGGAAATGGCGGATCGCATTGTTTGGCGACCCCCGTAAAATGGTCGATCGACCCCAAATGGGGTCGCGACCCATAGGTTGAGAACCGCTGATCTAATGTGTCTAGTCATCTAATCCTTTAACTCTTATTCAAAACATTTTTATTATTTTTTATACATTATAATTTCCCTAAATACAGACACATTTAATTATCTAAAACATTTCCTTCATCTAGGCCATTTCAGCAGTATTATATTACTTATATCAAGAAATAAAACAAAAAGGGGAAAAAAGCACATAGTATCATTTAGGGAATTCATCTCTGTTAGAATGATATATGTATTCAGAATCTTTTCTATTTCTTTAACCATAGTCAAACAAATGTTTCTTTTTAAAATATTCTCTCTGGTAGACCCCATCATCTATTTTCTTAATTTTCACTTTGATCTTTTTCCTTTGACCAGTATCTTTCTTGATCAATGTGTTTTGCTGAATCAAAAAGTTTTTCCATATATTCATGACTGTTGCTGTAGGTATAAGAAGTAAATCGAATAAAGTGTTTTTATGTGAGGCTTTTGTCTTTCCATGTTTCTTGAAAATCTTTTTCTCTTTCTCCTTCTTTGCATCTCTTATCACTTCCTTTCTCTCTGATGTTTTCAACATCTCTACATTCCATTTTGTCCAATCTGTTTTTTTGTCCTCAGATTTACTTTGTGGTCTTAAGGGATGACAACTCATCATCTTTAATAATAGAGATATAAGATTGGGGAAATAAAATCCCAAAATCCCACAAGAGTCAAGTTCTACTGTTTGCTATGGGTAAACCTTTGTTTAATACAGCACTGAACTTGAACTCTACTTCCTAAATAAACAAAAACAACTTAGCTATGATATTGGACTAAAATATTTCAAATATCATATGATGTACTCTAAGTACATATGCAACAGATGAATTTATTTGCTTTCATTGCCTAGTAAGGGGTCCAAATTGATTTCAGAAGATATAGATTTTTATCTGGCACCCGTAGTGGAATATGAGTTTGGTTGTTTATCTACTGGGATGTGAGCCTTCTAGGCATAATATTCTTGATGGTTTTTGAAAGTTAGGAGCTTAATGTTGAAAGGGTTACTGTTCTTAAATGTAGTCGTCATTTAATAGATTCATATCTTCATGTCTTTCATTCCACCTTTTGCATCTTCCCCCTCAGGCAGGAGGTACAGCTCGTCATAAATACTGATCTACTTAATTGTTCCTCTTCAGTGTTCTGCCCACATTCATATTTCACTGCTCGGTCCAATTTTCTCCTCATTCTAGCTGTACTGAGTCCTGTGTAAGAGTAAGTAGAATTTCACTGTTTTATTATTAGCAGTCTGTTAAAAAGAAAATAATAAGGTAGGTGGGAAGGGCAAGAATATGGACCGAATTATACAGGCTTAATCAGTCTTACTCCATCTTTAGCTGAAAGAGTAGAAAGGGTTTTAAATGCAACAAAGGTGGCTTTCTGTATTTTGCAGTTGTTGAAATTAAAGAGCCAAGGTGACGTAGCAGTTAGAGTGCAGTACTGCAGGCCACTTTAGCTGACTGTGTTCAGCAGGTCAGCGGTTCAAATCTCACCGGCTCAAGGTTGACTCAGCCTTCTATCCTTCTGGGGTAGGTAAAATGAGGACCCAGATTGTTGGGGGCAATGTAAATCTTGCTTACTGGTGTACACCGCTTAGAGAGTGCTTGCACTTAAAGCGGTATATAAGTCTCATAAATAAATAAATAAATAAATAAATATTGCTTCCTAAAGAGCATCTGAATGAATGATGAAGTTAAAACTGTTTCCTGCTTCACCTATTAGGGCCAGATTTAGACAGAGCTCCCAGTGTCAGGACTGTTTGAAGTGGAATACATTTGCATTCTTACTCAAAATATTGTGAGATCATCCAGACATTTTAGATAAGATTGCATCATTTTGCTAATGTATAATTTTGAAAAATATAATTTGGGGGCCTGAAGATGACATCTGAGGATATTCCCCTAAAAAGAGATTTGGGATAAATATTTCAAAATAAATACATTTTAAATGTATAGGGTTGTACATATAATTCTCATCACATAGTTTCTATTTCATTTCTATTCTTAACATTCTAATTGCAGTAATAATAATAATCTAGGAAAAAAAAGAGGATTTAGATATGATGGGCAAATGAATTACAAGCCAACTCACCAACTCATGCCATTTTTGTTATATATGGTCAGTTCTACATTCTCAAAAGAACTTATCCCCACTTTCTAGATATTTGGGATGGCACTGATCTCTAAAAAGTGCAATCTTCCAAAAAATGGAAGATCCATCCATCACCATTACTCCAAAGTGCTTACAAAATGTTGAAATTATTCCAATTCAGTTTTCCGGTCACTCTAAGCTTCCTAGAAACATCATATTGTAATAAAAAAAATCTTTTTAATGATTTTACTCCCAAAAAATTATCTCAACCCAAAACAGTTGCATGTCTCTTCAGTGCCAATATCAAAAAAATCTGGATTTTCACTAAAACAGAAGAGAGATAATCAAAATTATAGGAGGAGGAAAAGGGGGAAGAAGCAAAGTATTTAGATCATGCTTAAATAGTACTCTTCTTTCCTAAGATTCTTGTTCTGGATCCAGAAGATATTCATGGACTTCACCATTAATATTTGGGTCTTCTTAATCCTACTTTACTGGCCATGGGATTCAGAGACACGAAAATATGAAGACATCCTTAAGGTGCCAAATGGAGGACGATGGGGTACCTGGGGAGAGATAATATTATGTCCCACAGGACATGTTAATGGCTTCGCACTGAAGGTATTTTGCTTCTGCCACCCTACTACTGGTTTATGAGCGTGTTCGTCCAAATACAGAATGGCTTAGGGTAACAAAAGTTACGCAGGGGACAAAGGGAGGAAGAGGAGAACAAAGGGCTAGTGATAGAGCAGAAATGTTTTTGCAAGCATAAGGTCTCAGGTTGAAATTCTGAACATCTTCTGTCAGTCCTTTGGGAGTCCAGGTCAGGAAACTGACTCCACAAGGAAGCTAGAGCTATACATTACAGGTAGTCTTCAACATACAGTCACAGCTGGGACCAGAATTTCCATTGCTAAGCAAGCCTGATTTTACAAACTTTTTTTTTTGCCATGGTTGTTAAGTGAATCACTGTGGCTGTGAAATAAATCATGCCCTCATTAAGTGAATCCAACTTTCTCCATTGACTTTGCTTGTTGGAAGCTGGCTGGGAAGGTTGCAAAAGATGATCACATAATCCTGAGATGTTGCAACCGTCATAAATACATGCTGGTTGCCAAATGTCCAAAGTTTGATCATGCAACCATGGAAATGCTATGACAATCATAAGTGCCTGGGCTAATCATAACTCACTTTTTTTTAGTGCTGTTGTAACTTTGAATATTCATGATTGTAATGGTTTAAGTCGAGGATTACCTGTATTTGTGTTTTCTTTTCCTTTTTTTAATATACTCGTGGGATTCAAGGGGACCAGTCTGAGTCTTTTTCTAATACTTTCCCACTTCCCTGGACATACCACATGATTTTTCTGCTTCCGTTGCTGTCCTGATGACTTCTGGATGCCTTTGTCAGGGGCTTGTCCAAGGCTTCCCACAATTAATGGGATCTTCAGGTATATCACACAGGGAAAAGTTATATTTTGTGACTTTAGTAAGTCAGACCAGAGAAAATATAAATGATCAAATACTCTGATGTAGTAGATGTAGCAGTGGTTTGCACTGGACTTAGAGCAAAACCCGAGGGACCTGGGATCGTCTATGTGACCATCAAAGAGTAACAAGTATTTTGGTAAAAGTATGAAGACTTGGCTTCCCTGACATGGGCTGACAGTAAAAATTAGAATAACATTAACAGTTGAAACATTATTTTATGCTATTTTCTCCCTTGTAGGCCTTTAGATAGGAAAATGAACAATATGCATAGTTTTCAATTTAAAGAAAAACAATTAGAGAAAATATTAAACTACTTATCTTCAAACCAGACAATAAAACAGCAGGAATATGACAGCTCAAATGAAACATTGGCAGACTCAGAACAATGTTTTTCGTTCTCCTTTTGCTTTTAAAACATGTAGAGGGGCATGCACAGAATTACAGAAGCCCATTCCATTATTATTATTTTTTTTTTATTAAAAGTTTTATAAATTTTACAAAAAAAACAAAAACAATACAAAACAAAAGACAACATATACAAAAAAAAGGGAACTAAACAATACATATATAAGAAAAGAGAAAAAAAAAAAACCCATCCCCCACCCCTCCCAAAAAACCCCTCCCTTCCCCCCCCTGAGCTTCCCAGAGCAGAATATAGGCTTAAAAAATAAAAATAAAAATTAAATTAAAAACTTTATATTTATATATATAAAAAAATATCTATGATATATATGAAAATAAAACTTATGAAAAAGCTATATGATATTTTTGTATACCCAATCTAAATTGTATAAATTTTATCCATTTGTCCCAAACAGCAAGAAACTTCTCTTGCGTTTGTTGCTTTAAGAAGGCCGAAATCTTTGCCATTTCCGCCAGATAAGCTACTTTAAGAAACCATTCCTGCAATGTAGGCAAAGATTCCTTCTTCCAATATTGTCCTACTAACAGACTAGCGGCTGTAATCAAATTTAACATCAATACAACCTCCTTTGTATCACAATCTGTAACAATGCCTAACAAAAATAATTGCGGAGTAAATTTTACCCTCCTTCTAAAAATTCTCTGGATATTCCACCATATTTTGATCCAAAATGCTTTTATCACTCTGCATGACCACCAAATATGATAATAGGAAGCCTCCTTATAACCACATCTCCAACATTTGGGTTGCACGTCAGGGTACATATAAGACATTTTTTGTGGATCAAGGTGCCATCTATAAAACATTTTATAGAAATTCTCCCTTAAGTTCTGTGCTTGAGTAAATTTGACATTTCTCACCCAAATAATTTCCCAGGTGTCCAATGAAACTGGCTCACCAAAATTCTGCGCCCATCTAATCATACAATCTTTAATTAGTTCCGTTTCTGAATCCAATTCAACTAAAACCCCATAAATTCTCTTAATGTGGGTTTGTCTTTGATCCTTCACTTGCTTAATAAGATTTTCATCTTCTCTAAGAAAACCCACCTTACAATCCATCTTCCATCTATCTAGTAATTGCCTATATTGGAACCAAGAATAAGTAAAGTTTTCTTGTACTAAGTCTTCCCGTGATTTTAATTGCCAGTTTTGTCCATCCCATTTAAGTAACTGTCTATAAGACACTATATCCATTTTAACCCCTCTTTTTATTCCTTCTATCGCATGCCAAGGTATAGCCCATAATGGTACTTTGAAATCACTTTTATAATATTTTCTCCAAGTCCTAAGTAAAGAAATTCTTAAGATATGAGATTTAAAAGCCCAATCCATTTTTTTATTAAATATTAAATAGGCATGCCACCCATAAAGTAAATCCCATCCCTCTAAGTGAAGTATTTCAGGATTTGTCAAATTTACCCAATCACTAATTAATGTTAAGACCACCGCATCATAATATAATTTCAAATTTGGTACCTTAAGTCCACCCCTCTCACGGAAGTCTTGCATAATTTTGAACTTAACCCTTGGCTTTTTCCCTGCCCAAATAAATTTATTAAGACCCTTCTGCCACTCATTTAAGTTAATCTCATTTTTCAAAATTGGTAACATTTGAAACAAAAAAAGAAACTTGGGTAGAATATTCATTTTTATCACTGCAATTCTTCCCATGAGGGATAATTGCAACTTCTCCCAATTCTTCAAGTCCTTCTGTACCCTGACCCACAACCTTTCATAATTGTTTTTAAATAATTTTACATTAGAAACAGACAACATCACCCCCAAATATTTTACCTTGTTAACAATCTCAAAACCCGTCAAGTTAGCCAAAATCTGCTTCTCCTGACTAGACATATTTTTAGGTAAAATTTTAGTCTTATTTACATTAATCTTGAAACCCGAAACCAAACCATAATGATGAATCAACTGTAATAAGTTTACTACAGAATAATCAGGTTGCGACAAAGTAACAACCAAGTCATCCGCAAAAGCTCTCAACTTATAGTCTTTTTTATTAACATATATTCCTTTAATTTCCTGAGACTCTCGAATTTTGATCAATAATATTTCCAATGTTAAAACAAACAACAATGGCGATAAAGGACACCCTTGTCTAGTACCTTTCTCTATTGTAAAAACCTCCGACAAACCTCCATTAACAATAAGTTGTGCCGTTTGTTTTTGATATATTACCGTAAGGGCTTGTAATATCTTTTCACCAACATTCATTTCTTCCATTACTCTTAGCATAAAATGCCAATTCAATTGATCAAATGCTTTTTCAGCATCTAAAAATATGAGCCCTGCAGGAACTTGGTTGTTCTTGTCTAAATATTCTAATAGATTAATAATTTGTCTAACATTATTTTTCATATACCTTCCTGTTATAAACCCTGATTGATCTTTATGGACAAGATGATGCACCACCCTCATAAGCCTATTTACCAAAATTTTTACAAATATCTTATAATCCACATTTAAGAGAGATATAGGCCTATAATTTTTTGGTAAAGTAAGATCTTGATCCTCTTTTGGAATCAATGATATAAAAGCACTACGCCATGAAGGAGGAATCTCTAAACCCTGTAAGATACCATTAAAAAGATCATTTAATGGTTGAATCATCTCCTCCATTAAAGCTTTATAATAAACAGCTGTTAACCCATCCGTACCCGGTGCTTTCCCTAATTTCAATTGTTGAATTGCTGAGGCAATTTCCTCCTTAGTAATTAAGCCATTAATTTCATATTTCTGATCCTCAGTCAGTTTAGGAAAACTTGCCTCAGCTAGATATTTATTTATATCTAGCAGTTGTATATTAGTAGATTTATATAGGTTTTGATAATAATCCAAAAAAGATTTTTTGATCAATTCCTTCTGAGAAACTAGTTTACCCTTGTAGTTTATTTTCTCTATTATTCTCTGTCTCTGTTTCTTTCTTAATTGATAAGCCAACCATCTCCCAGGCTTATTAGCATTGCAAAATGTATTTTGTTTCATAAACAATAAGTTAGTTGCAGCTTGATCTGCTATCAACATATTAAATTGTGACCTTAATAACTTTACAGATTCTTTAATACTTTCATCAGAAGGGTTTAGAATCAAAGCACTTTCTTTTAATTTAATTTCATCTTCGAGTTCTCTACGTTTCTGAATCTGCTTTCGCTTATGAAAATTATTCATTTTTATCAAAACACCACGCATAAATGCTTTACCTGCATCCCATACCATTGACATTGAAGTCCCCTTATACATATTCAAAGCAAAATAGTCCTTTAAACACTCCTTTAGTTTTTGAACATTCTTCTCTTGTCTAAACAAATTTTCATTAACTCTCCAGGATCTCCTTTCCTCTTTCTCTTGAATCAGCTCCATCCAAACTGGGCTATGATCCGTCAGTGATCTAGGAAAAATCTTTACATTCTTTACTTTATTATACAAGTCCGTGGTAATCAAGAAAAAGTCAATTCTTGAAAAAGATTGGTGTCTATCAGAAAAAAAAGTAAAGTCTCTCTCCTCTTGATTACGTTCCCGACAATAATCCCTTAATTCCCAGTCTTCTTTCATGTCAAAAAAGGCTTTAGGTAGCCTTGCTTGTTTAAGAAAAGGAGAGGAACCTTTCTTATCCCTTTGTGTATCTAAGACACCATTCCAATAACCCATTAATACCACCGATCTATAATCAAGCAAAGTTATTTTTTGGTGTAACTGTTTATAAAATTGTTCCTGTTGTTGATTTGGATCATAAAGTCCAACTATAAGTACTTTCTTACCATAAATACCAAGTTCAATCATCACATATCTCCCCTGGGGATCTGATTCTACCAGACAAGCTGGTAGGTTTTGTTTAACATATATAAAAACTCCCCCTTTCTTCCCAGGAGCAGAAGATATAAAATGAGATCCCAAACGAGCATTGACTAAATATTTCTGATCTTTAAGTAAAATATGAGTTTCCTGTAAGCAAATAACATCATTGGTATGTTGCTTCAACTAATAAAAGATTTTTTTCCGTTTCTGAGGAGAATTCAATCCATTAACATTCCAGGTCAAAAACTTTGCCATCTCCCTTGGCACGCAGCCTGGAGAAGACACCATCAAGATCTGAACGAGCTGCATGTGTTGCATAACTCTTGGGTCTTGCTCCTCCCACCGGCGGTGATGCACTTCCAGGAGAACTCTCTTTAGGCTCTTTTTTACGTTGCTCCTTCTCTTTACGCTTATAGGCTGCACGAGTCATCCTCTGCTCTTTAACCTCCGTCTGGCGTTGCTTTACCGCTTCTAACATCCCAGCGGAAACCAAATCTAATGCCTCAGATTGCTGCTCAACTTCCTTGCCACTCAAGGATTTCCAACCAGATGAAGTTGAGCCTGCACCCAGGACCGAAGTATAAAAGTCTCTGGCTTTGTCAACTGTATTCAATCTGTAACGTGTCCCAGCATGGCTCAAAACAATACCCATCGGAATTTCCCATCTAAATGGCATCGATCTAGCTTTAAGCTCGTTGGTTAAAAAAGCAAAGTCTTTCCTGCTTCTTAAAATTTTGGATGGGATTTCCTTTAGAATGATGACATCTTGGGCGGCAATCTGAAATCTTTTGTTGTAAAAAGCTTGTATAATCTCATTCCGCAGGGACTTCTTAGTAAAATAAATCACCACATCTCTAGGCAAATTCTTCTGCTTAGCAATCCAGGAGTTGAGTCTATAAATTTTTTCCACTTCTCTCTGTAATTCTCCTTTATCCATATCCAAGGCCAGTGCCAGATCAGTAAGGACCACCTCCACCAAATCTTGATTCATATCTTCCTTGAGACCTCTAATCCTTAGGGCATACTCCATCTGTCTATACTGAAACATCAAAATGTCTTCTTGTGAGGAGTCCACCTTCCTTTCCACATCTTGAATTTTATCATCCAAGGAGTCAACTTTGTCTTCCACTTCCTCGAGCCTTGCATCGAGCTTAACCACCACAGTAGCCAAACCTGAAACAGCTGCAAGTATATCTTGTCGCAAATCATTATTATTTTCTTGCAATTTAGTCTTTATCCCCGTTATCTCTTCTTTGAGATCAGATTTAATTTCTGATTTAATCTGTGAAACAAATTGATTCATTTCCTCTCTCATTTGAACTACAATCTCTCCCATTATGCCTCTAACCTCTTGTGCTGAAAGTCCCGATAGAGGAGGGGAGGGTGGTGGCTGAGCCGGTGGTACATGTTTAGATTGTTGTTGTAACTGTGCAGTGGAAGTTATAGGAGAAGAAATAACCTTGGGTATTGAGGAAGGCTGCTGCCTCTTTGAAGCCATTTTAAAAAGCACAATTCTCACTTCCCTTTCCCCTTTATTTTTTTTTTTTAAAATGTAATTTTCTTCCAAAATGCATAGTGGTTATTCTGCTGTAAGGCTCACAGCTGTTTAAATGGGCACTTACAACACTATTCTATCTAGAAGTACCATTGGCAGAGGTGTCCACAGGAAGGGTCAAAACAGTCAAATGGTGGCTGTGATCATTTGATTAAAGACTCCTACCTTTTAGTTTTGTGCCATTGTGGCAGTATTTAGACTTCTTTTGAGTGCCCCTGCTGATACCCTAGACCAGGGCTTTTCAACCAGTGGTACGGGTACCACCTGTGGTACATTGGCAGGTGGTACACGAACATCCTAGAAAAGTAGTGGCGGGGGAGGGGAATGAGCTGAACCAGTGGCAGCACCACACAAGCCTGAGCGAGAGATGGCTGGAACTGCAGGGCTGTCAGGGTTCAGCGGAAGTGCCAGGATCAGTGCTGCTTTCCAGCTGATTGGCACTTCTTCGGGGCTGTCAGGGCTCAGTGGAAGCGCCAGGATCACCTGGTGCTTCTGCTGGGCCCTGAAGAAACACCAATCAGCTGGAAAGCGGCGTTGATCTTGGTGCTTCTGCTGAGCCCAGACGAAGCGCCGATCAGCTGCAATGTTGCAGCATCTCCAGGATCTTGTGATTTACATTCAGATGCTTGGCAACTGATTCATATTTATGACAGTCACAGTGTCCCAGGGTCATGTGAAGTGACCAAAACCTGCTGCAACCACCCAGCAGACGGGGGGAATAAAAACCAAACACCCCCATCCCACCCCTGCTGCCAATCCTCAACAGAAATGCTCACAACAATGAAAACCTCAGACAGGAGGAAGAGCGCCACCAGGTAGGCAGGCAGGTGTCTTGCTTGGCTGTGGCTTGGGGGGCACTTTTTTCAGTGCCATTGTAACTTCGAACAGTCACTAAGTGAACTGCTGTAAGTCGAGGACTACCTGTACTTTATCACTTTTTTCCTTTTTTTTTTTTTGGTCATCAAGTTTTTGACACCTTGCTAGGCGACTGGTGGTACTCGGATATTGCCATATCCTAAAAGTGGTACAATGGGTGAAAAGGTTGAAAAGCCCTGCCCTAGACCACAGGATGTTCCATTTCTATTCCCCTTTCATCAATCAATCAATCAATCAATCACTCAGTCAACTAATAAATCAGAATAGAGCTGGAAGGGACCTTGAAGGTCTTCTAGTCCAGCCCCCTGCTCAAGCAGGAGACCATATACCAGACATGTCAAACTCGCGACATCACATGATGTTGTGCGACGTATCGGAGCTTTTCCCCCATTGCTGGCAATGGGGTGGGCACGGTTTCCTCGTGATGCATCCAGCCCAAGGGCCGGCAGTTTGACACCCCTGCCCTATACCATTTCAGACAAGTGGCTGTCCGGTCTCTTCTTAAAAACCTCCATTGATGAAGCACCCCCATGTCTGAAGGCAAACTATTTCACTGGTTAATTGTCTACACTGTTAAGAAGTTTCTCCTTAATTCCAGGTTGCTCCTCTCCTTAATTTCCATCAATTGTTTCTTGTCTTTCCTTCTGATGCTTTGGAAAATAAATTGACCCCCCTCTTCCTTGACCCCCTCCTCTCAAATCCTGGAATACTGCTATCATGTTCCCCCTAGTCCTTCTTTTCTCTAGACTGGCCATTCCCAAATCCTGCAACCGTTCTTCATATGTTTTAGTCTCTAGGCCTTTAATCATCTTAGTTGCTCTTCTTTGCACTTTTTCCAAAGTCTCCACATCTTTTTTGTAATGTGGTGACCAAAACTGGATGTAGTATTTCAGGTGTGACCTTACTAACAGTCAATAATAATTATCAATAATCACTTGATTGAGTTGGGAGGCTGAACTGAAATTGAATAAGTAAAATAAAAGAAATAGAAGACTTTTTTCCAGCCTGTTTCCAATACTGTAGTTTGAGGACTCTCATTCTTTTTTGGTGAAGGGAGAGAAATCTTAATTGGAAATAATGGAAAACTAACTCATAAGTGAAGAAACAGAGAGCCAGTTTTGGTGTATTGGTCAAGGCATCATACTCTGAGTTCTAGGCCCACCTTAGGTACAAAACCAGCAGGTCAACTTTGGGCAGGTAGTCTCTCAATCCTAGGAAGCAATCAGTGAGAAACCGCTTCTGAAATCTTGCCAAGATAACTTCAGAGAAAGTTGTGAGGAGTCAAGACTGACTCAAAGGCATCAAAACAAACAAATAAACAAACTCCAGCCAAAGAAACACTAACTGGAACAAAGTATCAAAGAGGGAAAACATGAAATGTTATGGGTTTTTTTAAACTGTTTGATTAAAAGCATAGATTGAGAGCGAATTAATACTTCATTATAAATCAGATCTAGAAAACAATATAAAAGAGTCAAGAGAGAGGCACTTTGGTGCAGTAGTTAATGCATCAGACTAGAAATCTGGAGAGTGCAAGTTCTACCCTAGGTATGAAGCTAGTAATGACTTTGAGCCAGTCCTTCTCTTTCACCCCTAGGAAGGAGGCAATGGCAAACCACCTCCAAAAACTTGCCAGGAGAACTGCAGGTCCAGGCAGTTGGCAGGAATCAAAAACTGATTTAAAGGCACACACATACAAATTTTAAAAAGCACAATAGCAATTGGAGTTGAAAGCATCCCAAATTAAGTTTCATTTATTGTTCAACTCAGGAACATTTTAGTAGAAATGGAAAAGCAATTGAAATGGGTGGTAATGATTTTGGGAACAAACCCCTGCTAATTTCAGAGCAGAATGTGGCAAAGGTCTGTGAAAAATCCTGGAAGATGTTTTTAATCAATGAATTTTCTGGTAGCAATTCTTTCTTTTTCTGTTTTTTTTACTGATCCTAACAACTCAACCACTTATAAGAATTACTTAGCATTTCTAAATAGTTTCTAAATGGCTGATGCCGTTTTTTTGTCTTTCAATATAGTATGTCCCTTTAGCATATCAGAATATGGCATCTTTCCAAGAGGATTCTGGGAAGGAAAAATGGCAGTTCTTATTCCTTCAAAAAACAAGTGAAATATTCTTAGAATCTGAAATTAGAATGGTGGAAGACATTCTCTGTGGAATACAATTGGAATTACTTTCTTTCTGACTGCAGCTTCTTGAAGTTTCAAAAATTTCTTGCATAGAGACATACGAAGAGGTTGTGGAACATCTAGAAAAAATATGGTTCATTCTTGATGTAGCTTGATTGTAGGACTACCATCAATATCAGACATGGCAGAAATTTCCATTGACATTTCTTATTTTCCATCAGATGCAACCATCCCAAACAATCTGGGCTGACGATACAGGAGGTGTCAACAGTATTCGTCTTGAATGTACCGATAGGACCATCATTGAAACTAAGAGTGGACGGTAAATTGGTTTTGCTTCATTTCTTTTGCTGACTTTGCTTTCTTGGAAATCGATAGAAAGAGAAGGTTAAAGGAAAATCAGCACTGCTGATTGAAAAGCAAATGATGCTAGTCTCAAATCTTTCTGATTGCTTTTGAATGACTGGAGTTTACCAATGGTTATTTTATAGAGTTTAGGTTTTCACAGCTGCTATTTATCGGTGAAATAACTTCTAAGTAATATAAGAAAATGAATATCTGCCGATGTTCAAACTGAACTTGGCAACAGTAGTCATATTCTTTTATACTGTCTGTGAGGAGAATGGTTACAACTAATAGTTAACTGTCACATAGCTGACAGTTGATAATCTTCCTCTCTGTTTTAATTGTTCAAGGAAATATCACAGAAGCAAAGAGCTGGAATACATGTCACAGGACATTTACATTTCCTTCTTGGGACATGATCTCACCAAGCATTTTGGTGAAATGGTTGTCTAGCTTCTGTTTTGAAGACCTTCAGTGAGAGAAAACTTACTACTTTATGAGTCAGCCTTTTCCACTCGCTGAACTCTTTCCATCAGAAAATTTCTCCAAGTAACTCGATAACATTATCTCTTTCTGATACTTTAGATCCGGTATCTATGTTCCTGTTCTATAGGATGCCAGAGAATAAATGTAGTCTCTCTATATGACAATAGTTTAGATTTTTTAACCTTGCTATCATCTTTCCTCTCAATCTTCTTCTCTGCAACCTAAGCATACATGTTTTCTGTTCAGGAATGTCAACTGCATTTGGGCACACCCAGTTCCAATAATGGGTTATTTTTCTTCTCCTACCACCCTATATATATTTGCAATGAAACCACAATATTTTCCCTAACACCTATCCTCCCTGTATAAATACATTAGTATTTTCATCTTGGTTTGTGCTTCATTTTCATTTATATTTAATTTGGTAACAAAATGTCACCGAGAGTGGTAGTACGCTATATACTGCTGCATGATTAAAGGGAAGATAAATTTGTTATAATAGTAAAAAGTACATTTTTTCAGGCTTGCTCAGAAAATATGGAAAGTCAGAAAAAAATGCACATACCCCCAGAATGGAACTGCCATCCCCTGATGCAGGCCTCCCTAAGATATAGGCCTCTTGCCTTCACATATGCTGTTATACCCAGAAAAGCTAATATACATTCTGATCATTACATTGACACTGAAGCTAATGGAGGCATATTTGATCCATATTTTCAGCCAAACCTTTGAAGTTAAACTTCAGGATATTATGCTGTACATTATTAAGCCCTAAATATTAAGAAAACTGGACCTACATGCGACTCAGGTTATTTCTGCTTCTTAATGATTCACAGATTCTTGATCTTAATTCACTTTGAAATGTCCTTTTTTAACAGACGGGGCAATTGGACAGAATTTCAGGAATGCCCCAGAGGCAACTTCATTTCTTTTGCTCTCAACATGGTAGAACATAGAGGACTACTTGATGATATGGCAGTTAAAAACATCCAATTTAGTTGTGAAAAAGGAACTGTACTAACGGGACCACCACACAATGGGCCAAACTTTCGTCCGTGGAGCAAACATTGCCATGTTGGCTCCATATGTGGAATGCAGGTAAAGACTGAGGACGTTCAAGGATGGAGAGATGATACAACAATCTGTGATGTGAAGTTTTTCTGCTGTGATTGAACCAAAAGTCTTTGGCACCACTAAAGCACATCTGCCTGTGTTCTATTGGATTTGTCTGAAATGAATCCAAGCACAATTAATCTAAACCTTAAACAAGGAGTTTTATGCGATTTAACAGTTCTGTTGTAAATAGCATGGTTAATTACATTAAAAAATGAATTGTTTAGTTTTTATCTATACATATGAACATAGCAAATGTTTAATATATATCTTAAAATGTACGATGTATCTAGAATTATGTTCAAAGCAGTGTAGTTTAATAATCATTCTGTAATTTTAATTGCTACATTATAGAAGTATATTCTTGATTGATTGGCCATGTGGCTATGGGAATTGATTTAAAAGAAATATATATGGTGTCGCAGTTGCGACTGCTGCCTGTGGATGGCTCTAGTTTGAGCTGATACAAGGCAAAAGATTTCTCTCTCCCATATTTGGGTAACAGGGTGTAGCATACAGCACTCTAGATAATTCTCCTCCCCTGTCTCTTCCCTCCCTAACACAGCTGGCAAAAGTGAGAAAGAGCCTGTGGCCTAGGGGTTAACACAGCTGCCTAACATGCAGACGGCCCAGGTTCGAATCTCAGAAGGGTATGTCTGGTTGAAAAGAACTAAAAAGTTTGAAATAGCTATTCCAGTTCTCCCTCAATTCTTTGCTAGCAATCCAAATTTTAGAAATATATATGGTGTTGCAGTTGCGACTGCTGCCTGTGGATGGCTCTAGTTTGAGCTGATACAAGGCAAAAGATTTCTCTCTCCCATATTTGGGTAACAGGGTGTAGCATACAGCACTCTCTCTCTCTCTCTCTCTATATATATATATATATATATATATATATATATATATATATATATATATATATATATATATAATATCGGTAAAAATTCGACTCCTGGGTATATTCATATTACAAGATGAATTAATAACGATCACCAGGAGAATCCAATAAGGAAAAATATTTAATAAAACCAAGCTTTCATCGGAAACTTCCGACATCGTCAGGGTTAAAGGCAGTCAATGGGAAGAAACTTATATAAGATCACCAAATTGAATTAGAAAATCAAGGAGTATATGAAATCCCATGCACCACTTGTCCCACCACATACATCGGACAAACCAACAGAAGAATAAGTGCACGCATTGAAGAACATAAGAACTCAGTCAAAAAAGAGGAACCAACTTCTTTCCTGGTCCAACACCTTAAAATCACAGGACATGAAATTGACTTTAAAAAGACCAGAACTATTGCCAAAACTGAACATTTTAATAACAGAATAATCAGAGAAGCCATCGAGATAGAAAAATGCCCACACAGCATGAACAAACGAGATGATACCTCTCGCTTACCAGCCATTTGGAAACCTGCCCTTATTGACAAATGACTCCCTAACACAAAAAATGACACCAGACCCACACTCACAAAAACCACACAGGATGTCACCACCACACATCCATGCAAAAAGCAAACCCAAAACCACACCGATGATGACGCATGACCACAAACCAGAAGCCAGACCACAGCTGCATCATTAGCCACTTTAAACCCCTCCAATCCATACATGAAGCAAACTGACACCCACCATGAAGATGAGGCACGACCACGAACGCGAAGCCAAAAAATAGCAATGCAGTTCACCATTTTAAACCCCCTGCAACTCAGACTAACCTGAGCACAACAAAGCCCCCACCCAAACAGAACACTCCCCCAACCAATCAGAGCACAGCCAACCCCCCATCCAATCAGAGCACAGCCAAGCTCCTAACCAATCAGAACACACCTCCATCCAATCAGAACACAGCCAAGCTTCTCATCCAATCAGTTCATACCCCCACTGGCAGTTAAAAGGAGGAAACAGCTACAATCACACATTGCTCCTAGAAGCACGAAGCCGAAAGCACCAGCCTGAAGATGACGAATGAGACTTCGTCGAAACGTCACCAAGACACTTCCAATTTTATGTGGGAGAAAACCCGAATAACCAAAGACCTATATATATATATATATATATATATATATATATATATATATATATATATATATACACACACACACACACAAATTTCTTTTTCTGACAAAGAATTAAAGAATTAAATTGGGAGACTAAGATGGCCATTTCAAGCTCATTCTGCTCTCTTCAGTTAGCCACACCCTTTATGGGATTCGAACCTGGGCAGTTTACATACTAGGCAGTGATTTAACCACCAAGCCACAGGCTCTCCTCCCTCTTTGCCAGTTGAGTCAAGGGAGTATATGCAGGAAGTTTTTTAGACAGATGTCTAATTGATTACACCTTGACGTTTTTTAACTGCTATACTGCAGTTTTACTTTTTACAATCTCTTTTGCCTTGCAGCCCCCAACTAGGGGCGTTAAGCAGGCTCAAGTCGCAACTGCGAAACATTACAAATCCAAATTTCTTTTTTCTGACAAAGAATTAAAGAATTAAATTGGGAGACTAAGATGGCCATTTCGAGCTCATTCTGCTCTCATCAGTTAGCCACACCCGTTATGGGATTCGAACCTGGGCAGTTTACATACTAGGCAGTGATTTAACCACCAAGCCACAGGCTCTCCTCCCTCTTTGCCAGTTGAGTCAAGGGAGTATATGCAGGAAGTTTTTCAGACAGATGTCTATCCAATCAGTTCATACCCTCACTGGCAGTTAAAAGGAAGAAACAGCTAAAACCACACATTGCTGCTCAAAGCAAGAAGCTAAAAACACCAGCCTGAAGATGACGAATGTGACTTCGTCGAAACGTTGCCAAGACACTTCCAATTGTACGCGGGAGAAAACCCGAACAACCAAAGACCTATATATATATATATATATATATATATATATATATATATATATATATATATATATATATATAGAGAGAGAGAGAGAGAGAGAGAGAGAGAGAGAGAGATGGGTATAATCACCAAGATAGCATAACAGACTAAATCGCATACAGAAACACACACAAACACACATACACCCAAATTGCCAAAGAAAGCATTGTTAACTATACCATTATTTTAAAAAGTTCTTTTTCACAAAAGGAAACTGAGCTGAAATGAAATAAGCATAACAACTAATAATAGTGGGGTGTAAAGGAACTGTATTTGGCGGGACCATGAATAGAATTTCTTCTGCATGATACCCGCCTTTTGGAACATCATTCCCTTTGAAGTAAGACCAACCCCAACACTGCTGGGCTTCTGGAATGCCCTAAAAAGGTGGCTTGTAAACACCATGGAAATGTGGCGCCCATGAAATGGTTGCACTTTGTATAAGTTTAGACTGCACACTCATCTGCCTTTTTGTTACTGTAGGTTTTAACTGGTTTCAATAACTTTAATGGTTGAATTTTTTATTTCTTAGTTTGTATTCTAATTATGCATGTTACCTGGAGTCATATTATTATGACTACATATTACTACATGTGCAAGTGAGATGAGAAGCTATATAAATTTAACAATGGCTGGCTTCCATAAATGAAATAATTTTTCATGACTAGATTAAATAGATCTAAAAGTCCTGAAAGAGTTTTCAGATACAATCTCAGAGATCCTTTCAGTGATCTTTGACAAATCATGATGGATGGGTGACATGCCAGAATAACTGGAAAAATAATACTACCACTCCATGGATGCAAAGCAAGTTGAACAATCTATGTTCAAAACCTAAGTTGTCAATGGCTCCGCATTGAAATTGAAGGAGCATCAAATGGCTTCCTGTAAGGCTTTCTCCTAGGTCTAGTACTGCTCAACATATTTATAAAAACATGAATGATTATCCAACAGTAAACATATTTGAGGACTGAATTAAGATTCAGGTAAGATATTGAGAAATTGCATCAATGTATAGAAACCAGCAAGATGAATATGAACAGGGAAACTTAATATACATTTTTGTGGGGAAAATCAAAGTATTATTTATTTATTAAGAAAATTTATATGACTGCCCAACTCTCTTGGAGTAGCTCCAGGCAGCTTATAGAATTACCTCCCCCAAAATACAAAACCCAATAAATCCTCCCCTCTTCCCCAAGCAACAATATCAAGCAAACCACTTGATGGCCTCCATATCACTCAGCTGCTCACCAAAGTCACTGGTAAACCATGTTTCCAGGATCTTTTGAAAGAGTATCAAGGTGAGGGCCAATCTTATCTCTGTAGGGGTGATGGTCCACAGCTAGGGAACCACTATGCAGAAATATAATACAGGATGAAGGAAACTATGCTGGGCAAAAATGATTTGAGGTTCTAATTAAGATCAGAAGTCTTAATTCATCTTTATGCTCTATTGTCCACTCCTAGCATATTGAATTCAGTTCTGGGTACAGCATGTTTGGAAGAACATTGACAAACTAACTGTACGGAAGAAAACAATTAAGATGTTAAGGGACTTCAGGGACAAACACATGAGGAAGGGTTGGAGTTACTGAGGTATATCTAGCCTACAAAAGAGAAAACTATGAGACAACTTGATAGTTGCCCTCAAGTATTTAAAGGGCTGAAATGCAGAAAATGGGGAAGGCTTTTATAGGCTTCATTGTATAAGGGGATACAAGAAATAATGAGTTTATATTATGAAGAGGATTTTCCTAATGGCAAATGAAGCAGTAATGCCACGTTGCTTGAGAGATTGTAGACTTTTTCACTGAAGGATTTTAAACAGAGATTGGATGGCCATCTGTCCAGGGTACGCTAGGGATCCAGACAGGGAACTGAATTAGAATCTAAAAACGTAGAAGGACCTCTCCAGAGTTTCCTCTAACTTTTTATTATAGCCATGCTACTGTTGAATAAGGCTTAAGTTCCAAGGTCCATTTGTCAACATTAGAACACTAAGAGATCTCCTGAGTTGTTCCTAAGCTATGAAAAGACTCTTCAGCATCTTTGTTACTTTCAGGAGAGACATGGACTTTCCATTCAACCAGGACTTTTCAGTGGGAATGAATCCATTTACAAGTAGTATAAAGGTGCTTAACTAATATTTAATTGCTTATTATTAGCAGCTCAAGCATCCATAAAGTATATAAGAAAGATACAAAAGCAAACCAGTGCAAGGGCTTTATTTAAGTTGTTACCTCTAGGAGACATTGCATATTCCAATGTTTCCTTTGGAAGTTGAACGAACACCATGATGAAGCCTCTGCAATGTTTGGGTTTTTTTAGTAGATCTTTATTGCATCTTTAGTAGATTAAAGGTAGGCAGATATTTAGATTTGTGTATG